CTGGACTTTCACCGGACATTGACCATTGTGTGAGACCAGCTAACTAGCAGTCAACGCTGATGGCTGACTCGCCGCGATGCCGTTCTTGGGATTGGGAGGAAGCTGGCGGAGTCCTCTGAGCTTTTGGCGGAGTCCTCTGATGATAGTGACGTCGTCGAGTTATCGAGTTGGAAACTGCAGGCGAGGAAGCGGTCTTTTCAGAAACAGCTATTATCAAGTCTGAAAATGTTTCCAAAAGGACGCGAGTAGCACATGGACAGAGCACTGAAGAGGCCATCAGTGCCGAAACATGGGTGCGGGAGTTCCCAGATGAGCCGCTCAAAAGCGACCGTGGCAAGTTTGTGTGCCTGGCATGCCATACAACATTGTCAGGGAAGAAAAGTACATGTATAATCATGTCCCATATTGCTACCGCGAGATACAAACAAGGAAAGTCCCGTTTCGAGAGGGAAACTCAGAGGCAGAAGCTGGTCAAGGAGTCCTTCTTGGCGTATCAGAAACGACTTGGGAAGGCTCTAGCTGGCACAGGTCTCACTGAGGCTGTTAGTTCAGCCGAGTCTCTGCGGCGGATCCAGATTGTGATCATAGCATGAGGGCTATATTAGGCCACCTAGAATTAATTCGTTGTTTCGGGTCACTTCACTCATCCGTACCAGGGTCGGTCGGTCGGGTTTATTTTTTATTTTATTTTTTATTTTAGTAGCGGGTATGTTGTTGTTGTTGTTGTTTGTTGTTTGGCTTTATTTAAAGTGGAGTTCCAAAACAGGCCTAAACCTAATGACAATGGTCCCACTGATAATACGAGAAAAGAAAAATATATAATAATAAGCGGACAAACAGAACCAAGAAGAAGATACAGCTGTAGTTAGATAACTAATATGAGCACGGCAGCAGGGGAAAAAAAGTCACAAGCACGGCAACCGGGAAGAAAGGAGTGAGTGAGTGAGAGAGAGAGAGAGAGAGAGAGAGAGAGAGAGAGAGAGAGAGAGAGAGAGAGAGAGAGAGAGAGAGAGAGAGAGAGAGAGAGAGAGAGAGAGAGAGAGAGAGAGAGAGAGAGAGAGAGAGAGAGAGAGAGAGAGAGAGAGAGAGAGAGAGAGAGAGAGAGAGAGAGAGAGAGAGAGAGAGAGAGAGAGAGAGAGAGAGAGAGAGAGAGAGAGAGAGAGAGAGAGAGAGAGAGAGAGAGAGAGAGAGAGAGAGAGAGAGAGAGAGAGAGAGAGAGAGAGAGAGAGAGGGGGAGAGAGAGAGGTAGTGAAGCAGATGAGTTCATCCTAGTTGACGGTACTGCCTAACAGAAAGGCCAGGCTTAGCGATTTGAAAGTGGAGCGCTTTCTTTCGAGGCGTGCTTTGTCTGGGAGCTGGTTCCACAGGATAGCTCCAGCATGGCCAATGCGCTTAGCTGAGGATGCAGTGGGGGAGACAGGAATGATGAGTAACGTGCTGCTCCCTCCTCGTGTTCGGAGAGAGGGACTACGGGTGAAAAAGCTTGCAAACAGAGTACTTGAAGATTTGTTCAGGCAGCGCCAAATGAATACAAGAATGTGCATGTGGGTGTATATGCTGAGGGTATGGGCATTCATGCGTTCAAGTAAGGGAGCCGTGTGAGTGCGAGGGGCTGCCCTGCACATCGAGCGAGCCGCACGTTTGAACAAACTGTTTAGGCGCTTATCCTGATAAGACGATAAGAAAGGGGCATAGGCAGCAGATGCATAGTCAAATTCTGATAGTATAAAGGACCTGAAAAACTGAACACGGCAAGAAAAAGGCAAACATGCTGCACTTCGATTTAGTAGCCCAATCTTAGCGGCAACGCGGCGTGCAACATGGCTTGTCATGGTGTTCCAGCTCATGTCTGAGTCGAAATGTAGGCCAAGATACTTGGCCGTTTTCACAACAGGCAGCGTCTGCCCATTACAAAATTTCAGCTCAAGTGCTTGAGATGGGGATGGGGGAATAGGCAATATCTGTGTCTTTCTTTCATTAAGAATTAAACCACGGCCCTTCAGCCAGGTGGCCAGGTGCTGAACAGCAGCTGAAAGGTGTGCAGAAACAGCTTCCGCAGACTCCCTGCATGACTGTACAATTGTGCATATCGAATAGCTTTTCTCCATCAAGCCAGTCGATCAAATCTGACTGTAGTCGATCCAGCGTAGCCATTGTCCCATCAGATCCAGGTCCCCTCCAGGACCAGATCTCAGTTGGCCTCGTTGGCAAACGAGTCTGACGAGCAGCTTGAAAACTTCTGTCAATGAGCGACGCAGTGGCGGAGCTGATGGTGTTTCAGGACCGATTGCGAATCGGAGATAGAAGACAACGTCGTCACCAAGTGCTGCATCCTGTCGACTGCTTCTGAGGTCGATGTCTGGACTGCTATATTTTGGGTCGCGTGTGCACATAGTCTACCTAAGTCCTTATCATGCACATTTGCATGCACTAAAAAAAAAAATTGCGGTCGGGTGAAAAAAGACGGTCGGTCGGTTGACCCGAAACAACGAATTAATTCTGGGTGGCCTTATAGCGTTTTTCTTAGCCCAATGCCGCAAGGTTCAGGTGTTTATATTCAATCCGGCGGAGCATTATCAGCATTATTTGGAGCATTATAATTATGGCCTTTTGTGGAGCATTACTGAGAGCATTGTATCCTATATTACCGAGCATTATCCGCGAACACCTAACCAAGACCATTCGACTCAGCACCCCGAAGACTACAACTGGTGAAAATTTGATTTTAGCCTTAGGTGTGGGAAGACGACTTTCGAGCAAGCCCTGATGACGTAGCATGAGCTTTCCAGCGGAATGCATCAGCGCACCTGCAGAATTTTTCAATTGAACGACAGTAGAATAAATTGTTTGCTATGTTCTTCCAACGTCGTGAACGCTCCGGTATTCTGTGCCCTTCCAAGCACCCTGAATGTCCTTCCTAGGTGAATTTGCCTCCAGTGAAGCGTTGTTGATACCGGCACTAAAATCGTCTCTAGACATATGCACCCAGTGCTGATAATGTAAAATGTTGAAACCGTGATAATAATTGTTGACGATGCAGAGAAAGGTTGATAGCCGCTGTCGCAGGGAGAGTGAAGCCGCTGGAAGTAAGAACGGGGAGCCCGTTCGTATCACCTGAACATCCAGACTTCAAAGCAGTCTGCTTGACCGAATCGGACGGTGCTGACTATTTTCTTCGTTGTGTATCGTGAATACACCGACAATGATGAATTACTACATGACACACACGGTACTGGTGAGTTAATTTCTAGTTTTTCTTCGTATGCTCTAGCCTGGAGTAACTGCTCTCTTTGGCAAATTCCTATTCCCTGGCGTTTTCTAAACTTCCGTTTAGCCCCAGCACCCGCAAACATGCATGCACATCCACGTGCAGCTGCTCCGCAGGCTCCCAGCTCCAGGCACTCGTGCGCCCACGCACTCGCGCGCACACACACACACACACACACACACAAACACATAATTATACAGAAACACACACAGACACACACACATACACACAAACACACACAGATACACCACTGGCGTACCCAGTGGGCCATTTTCGGAAAATTATAGTTTTGTATTCTGCATCATCATGTGCCCGTGACCAACCCGTGACCAACACATGAATGCTTGGGCTATCTTCAAAATGGAGAGTTCGTATAGAAATGGTTGCCCAAATACAACAAAATTGATTTTTAAAGTACTATCGTAAAGTCCGCTGCAAACACCCACTTCGCAGCAAACACCCACCCCAGCGTGTCCATACTATATTCGTCTTTTTCAGCCAAAATAAAGTTGTACAAAATCGTTGAACTTGAAGGTTGAATGCGTACGAAAACGACTGTAATGCCTACAAACTGCCTATGTCTTACCAGGAGGCTTTGCTAAAAGCGATTGTAATGATCTTGCATTAAAGAAAAACGTCTGTCGAGATTTCCTTTCCTATCGATAAGTGAGTCGTCTTCGTATCAGTTCGTTCTCCATGTGGTAAAGCCGTCAAATCTACCTGGTTTTCAAATCTTAAAATTTCTGATTTTGCTTGCCAGAAAAATAAAAATCAACAACAACAACCGCGGTGCCACGATAAACGCAACAGGACTCACAACCTTTTCCAAGCTGGCCTGTATGCACCCCGTACTTACCCTCACGTACTCAACTTTTGTTCCGTTGGCCTGGGTAGCTACTTGCGCGCCCGTATTTGCCCCGCACAAATATATGTGTCATGTCGGACATGTACACAATAGCGATGTCATGGCTACAACATATATGTTATCAATTCGGGTTTCGTTACGGTTCACACCAGACCACCAGAGATACCAGTTTATTAGAGTCGGTAAAGCATATATCTCACGGGACGAGGACAGATTTTTAGACACCAACATTAGGGAATGGATTCGACTTCTCTGGCTAGATTATCGAGAGTTTGGTTATATTAGAGTGAACTAGAATAGAATGTACGGTGCAATGCATGAGCGCGCACATTATTATGTGTATAGCCCGACTATGTACACTATAAAGGGATGTAAATAGATCAACTGTACGGTGGTTTTTATGTGCAGGGGCAGAAGGAGGGCAAACGGGCTACAAATGTGTACGGTACTAATTATAACATGCAGGGGCAGCGGGGAAATGGGTCAAATATGGTTATAAAGTATGTACGTACGAACTACTGCATGCAGGGCTAGGGGTAGGGGGTAATGGGTCAAATATAGAGGTTATAAAGTGTGTACGAACTACTGCATGCAGGGCTAGGGGTAGGGGTAATGGAGTGCGTATGAACTACTGCATGCAGGGGTAGGGGGTAATGGAATGTGTATGAATTACTGCATGCAGGGGTAGGGGGTAATGGAGTGTGTATGGATTACTTCATGCCGGGGTTGAGATCCAAATATGGGATGCGTATAACATTTACATTCGTGTTGCCGTAGCAACCCCACCAGGTCATCAACCAATATAGTTGATCCAAGTATCCATTCAGCCCCACGCGCTCAACTTGATGAATCGAGAAGTTTGGAGAGTGAATTTGACACTTAGTTCGAATCTCAGGTTGAAGGTTGAAGATTGAAGGTACTTTACATCAAAAGCGGCAGGAGTTATACGATAATAAAAGGATCGAAAATGACAAAGATTCAGCAGAGGCGGAAAAAAGCCAACCAATCAGATTACAGATAGCTAGTTGCTAAGTAGATTTGACCAATGGGAGAACAAGGAGAAATGCATACTACTTATGAATTGACTAAACAGCGTACACGAAAAGGCAGTTAGCTGACACAACATTCCATGCACTGATATTTGATAATGATGATAAGTATATACAAATATGACAGTTGCCGTACTAACGCATTAAGGTAGCTCAATAGGAAAAACTTGGTCCGAAGATTGTACAGTTTTACTTTTTCTACACCTTCCTACATGTGTATGTATGTATGTATGTATGTATAACTCATAATCACAAGGTGATCGTAGAGGCATTAAAAAGAGAATTGTGAATGATGTCTCCTACATGTGTACTGAGTGAAAAAACATTCCTTGGGGGGGGGGGGGTGGTAATTGAGGGGAACACGTTCAGCCAACATGACGTAAGCTAGTACCGGCATTAGGTCGTCGTACAACCCGGGAGAAACCGTCAACTGCGGAGCCCGATACGACATATACATGACTGCATCCAAAAAAAATCGGTCGGCGCTCAAAACCTGGGTCGGCCGGGTTACCCGAAACAAGGGACATTTTCGGTGTCGCCTCATCTTACAATACTCCCACTTGATTTCGAAACAAGACCAGTTTAGCACGGCCGCCAGAGCGCATGATATGCATTGAGCAGCGGGTCTGCAGCCTGTATGTGCTGTATGTACGTACTATGTGCTATGTGCTATGTGTTTTGTGCTATGTGCTATGTGCTACGTACTAATCTAGACTGTTTAACCATGGTTGCAGTGTTCATGCTCGCAACGTCCAGTGTGACATCAGTCGATAGGTACAAAACGTGTATAATTATGTAGATACTGGATAGGTATCCGGGGTAGCGGCATGAAGAAACGTGTAGGATGTCAAGCAGCGTGCATGCCCCGCGTAAATACTCTCCGGGGCAGGGTGTTGGGTTGAACACGGAGTAAGAGATGGGGAAAAAGAGAGAGAGAAAGAGTGTTTCGCGTGTGTATGTGTGCATGTGTGTGAGAGAGAGAGAGAGAGCGCACGTTTGTGCACGTGTTGATACGTGCATGTGAGCATAATCTCAGCATCTGCATGTGTGCATACAAGTGTGTTTGTGTGTCTGTGTTCTGTTTGTGTGTATGTGTGTGTATATGTGTTCTGTTTGTGTGTGTATGTGTGTGTGTGTGCGCGCGCATGCGCGTGTTTATGATTGATAGAAAGATAAGGAACGAGGCCTTTTGAATGATGATAATCTTCAACGAGACATAACTGGTCATTGGCCGACGTTATGAACGGCGTGGTTGCTTCGACTTCAAGATGTCACATAGCTCGCTGTACGGGATCCAGCCAAAGCTTAGCAGCTGCTGTTCGCCCTTCCGTGCTGTCCTGCGGCTGGTTGATATGGCAACGGCGGTGGGGCGGCTGTCATAGGCTGCGTAGTACCATGCGGACGCCTTGCTCCACCTTGTGACAGAGTCCAGACCAGTGAAGTTCTGCTCATAGTAGTGCTGACGGAGTCGGAGCGTTTCCAAACGTACCTGCATGTCAAGAACAAGCACGGCCATGCACACATGTATGAGGGATCTGGGAAAGTTGATGGGAAGCAAGTAGGGGTTGGGGGTTGAACAGTGGGTGCTAGGCTAGTTGGGAGACATTTCCCCCATCCTCTGCTGCCGCCATCTTCCACCAACTTACTCAACCCCATTGACTCCCCACCCTGCCACCCCAATCCACCCCTACCCTGTCCCCTTGCCCATCCCCTGAACCACAACTCTACAACTAATGTAGCATCCCGAGTTGTGAGACGTTTTCCCCATCATCTGCAGTCACCATCTTCCACAAACTTAGTCAGCCCCATTGACTCCCCTACCCCCCCCCCCCCCCCCCCCACCACTCCAATTGAGTAACCCCTGCCCTGTCCCCTTCCTCATTCCCTGAACCACATTTCTACAACTCCTACCTGTGCCTGCACATCGTGCAGCTTCTGTCTGCGATGGTGGCGTGACGTCACCTTCACCATGTAGCCTCCAACTGCTTCAGCCTCCTTCCAGACACCATAGCGACGCATGATAGCGACCAGCTGCTGATTGTAATCGTACAGGAGGTGCCGGGCAGGGGGTAGAAACTCTCGCATGCCATCGACGATCAGGGCTTCGTTAATGGATACGTCGGCTCTCTGCGGCGACGGTGGTTTGTAATCAGACACGGCGCGGAACAGCTTTCCGAGAACCTTTTGAGATCGGTAGGACTTCTTGCTGGGCTTCTTCAGGAAATCGGGGAACAACTTAGCACGGTGACGCATGCTCATTACCACGGCGACTCCAGTCTTCGGATAGTCTACAGCTCGCGACTGCATTTCAGCCAGTTCTAGGCAGATCGGGTCCAGGGCCTTGAGCAGCGAGCGATCCGCCTTGGCGTGATGTGCGATGCAGATCTGTCCGAGCATGTCGGTTTTCATATAGTCGGCGAAGAAACTGCAGATGTTCTCGATAGTGACAGCGTCCTGGACTAGAGGTGGTGCTGTGTCGTAGTCAGCAGGCTCCACGATACGCCCGGGCAACAATGCCGGCTCCCACGTGACAAAGTACTGATCACCGTCCAGATCGGATCCGCTGCACTCGTTCGGGTGTGGTCGCTTGCCCTTTGCCGGGAACACCAGGCAGTTAACCAGAGCGGACAGGTAAGCATTGCCGGCTGGTGGGCGCACGGCATTCAGCAGTCGAATATCACCGGGATGCAGACATGGGTTCTTGGCGATGGCCACAAGTCCGACGATGGGCACGACATCACCCTGCTCCGATATCTGGATGAGCACCTCGCCGTAGTTGAGAGTTTTGCTCTCATCAAGCACACCCATAAGCAGTGCCGCCTTCTCGACATTGATGTGTGCCTTGTCCTCGAGGCGGAGCAGGTAGTTCTGGCGGTAAGCCAGCAGAAGGCCTTGCAGGTAAGGATCCCGGCCGGGGCTGATTCCTGCGGCCATCATGGCATGCATGGTGGTGGTGGTGGCGTAGACCTCCTGAAGACAGTGACTTGCTGCAATTTCCACCATAGCTGCCTGCACAGACATGTGGCCAAGAGCAAGATGGCATACAGGAACAATTTCAAACACTTGCCGCCTCTCCCTCTCCCAGCAATGCCGACGGCTTTATCTCAAAATGAGTGTGTCCATGTGTGTGTGTGTTTTTGTGTTCGTATGTGTTTGTGCATGGAAGGGGGGGGAGGGGGGGAGGGGGGGAGGGGGGAGGGGGGGGGGGGGGTAGAGCAAAATATACTGCATTCAAACATTCTGTAATGCATGTTGTTGTTGTTGTTGATTTTTATTTTGCTTCGCAAGGCCAAACGGGCAATGGTGCCCAATTCTATGGAAGCGAATTTCAAAAGGGAGAGAGCTACGGGGAGAGAGAGAGAGAGAGAGAGAGAGAGAGAGAGAGAGAGAGAGAGAGAGAGAGAGAGAGAGAGAGAGAGCATGTCAGCTGAATGTAGCCAGCCATCTGCACAGAAGCACCATGAATAATTATGATGAGGCTGTAGATGCGGGCAGGCATAGTGGGATGGTCTAAGACCATGATTGAGAAATAGAGGGTACCGGTTCAAGTCCTGCTTGGAAGCGGAAGGATTTTTCCAGCCGTGCTGCGACCCACAGTTAATTGGGAACTCGTGGCCTGGCACGAGGGAAACATGAATCGGGGCGAATTGAGTTTTCGGTCTTTCGGACCACTTTTCTGGTGGGCTGATCTATTCACCTCCCACCGCTTTAGGGGCTGCATATGCACCCTAGATCTTTGCAGGGTGGTGGTGTTCCTGAGGATGTTGAACACTTCGTCTTCTTAATCGAACCGTTAGCTTTTTCGGTAGATGAAGGCGTACGAGATTGCTAGCATTATTGTTTTACAATATTAAGTCAACGGTGCTTTTGGTAATCCTGCTTTAAAACGCTAGACCACATTGCAACGGCCATGCCCATCTTCATTCTTACCTTTCGGTCTTCTATGATGAAGTTCAGCTTGCCGAGCATGACGCCCTGCAGTCCCATGAACACGTCATCCTGTATGTCGAGAGTGCTCAGCAGCAGGATGATTTCGCGGTTGAGATGACCCGGGAACCGCCGCGCAACCTGGATCACCTCCAGCTGCAGGTGGCTGCTCTCGAACTTGCGCATGCTCGGGCGCAGACGCAGCTTGAGATGCCGCGGAACAGTGCTGCAGACGGCCACGACGCCCTTGAAGCCGGCAAAGCGGATCTGGAATGCTGCCGCCTGCCCACTGGTTTTCAGCTGCGTGCTAGTCAGGGCTTCCTTAGCAAACTGCACACGGATAAAATGCGTAAAATGAACTTTGTAAAAACACACACAAATTCATTTGGACACTATATGTTCAGTGGCATAATGACATTGATGCGTGGATAGCGCAGGGTTTGAGTTTACACGGTAAATTACACTAGTGCACTGTATAGCAGGGAATGTTCGGACGGAACTTATTTTCGGACGATTTCGTACGCGGCCTATTTTGTACTAAAATCAATTCCGTACTAAAATTAATGTGAAATTATGTACACTATACATGATGTACATTGGCGCGCGCGTACTGCATGCCAACACATGCTTTTAGCATGCAGCACAGTACGAAAATAGAATCCGTACGAAAGGTCGGAATCCCGCCTTTTTCCGGAAATATTCCAGTCCAAACATTTTCTGCTATACAGTATATTGCAGTGTTATGCTTTAAATTCCTAAGTTTCTTCCTTTCCGACCCCCTCAACTATTGAATACTTGAGAGAGTGTGAAAGGACTAAGAAAACAATGTCCAACACACCGCACATACACGTATCTACTGGTAAACCTGTCTCACATAGAAGCCAGGCCGTTTTTGAATACAAGCCTGATTTTCAAGATCCACTATCGGCACATACGGCTGGTTTTAGTGCTGACATACGTTATAAGTAATGATAATAATATTAATACTTCAAGTATTACACAGTTGCGCGTAATGGAACATTAACCTTAATTCGGCCGTCACACGAATTCAGCGAGTACTTGCAATTTTTTCTTTTGTTTCGGGTTGTATTGGACCAATCAAGCACGTTTATAAGTTTGACGTGAATATGTCCATGCGTTATGGAAATATTTATGTGTTCCCAGAAGGGAACGTTGGCCAGATCGCGTACCAAAATGACCCTGGTTTTTATGAAAGGAAGATACAATATGATATAATGAATTATGTTGTCTTCAAAGTGTTTGTGGAACAATGCTAACATGAACAGGCAGTAATGGAGAAGAAAAAATATGTACTAGTCGTCCAGAAATGTTTCTTAGTGTTTTCGGCTGCTACCGTTCGCGTCTCGTATGCACCGTGGCATTCGAACCACGATCGAAATGCAGTCGAACTCCACCCTTAGAGCAGTAGCATATTGTGGTTTGTCTGCACCATGTAAAACGACATTGTGTTGTCGACATTCTGTGGTATCAAACGCCCTTATATCGTGCATCAACCGCAAGACCGGCACTGGTGGTTCTGGGCGGGGTCGGCTTTCATAAAATAAGACGGCGATCTCAGGATGAAACTGGATGTAGGACATCGGCTGGGGGCTCACGGCTGTTTGAAAAATTGGCACTCTCAGGTCAGTTGTAAGAATGTGGTGGCGAAACAAAAAGAATTGCAATGACTCTCTCAAGATTTTCGGTCTCAGAGCTAATACTGGCCTTATCCGCGTCGAGGGTATCGTGCGGCACTTTCTCGTCCAATTTTGTTTATAGATGTACAGGGTGTGTATACCCTGTCCCCGGGGGAAATTGCAATTCCGCGGCCGCGGTTTTTTCCGCGTTTTTTGCGGTTTTTTAAAAGACCGCGTTTTCCGCGATTTTCCCGCGTTTTTTGAACTTTTTTGTTGCACTACACGTACACACAGTGCACTTTTCGGTCAGCAACGTCTCATCGTGGCGGCTTTTTACTCAAATATGACGAGTGCTTACACCAGAGACTTGTAACTGATTGATTTCACTACATACTCACTGAAAATTGCCGCACATCAATATTATTCACCGCATATTTACCGCAAATTCACCGCAAATTATGCCATATTATGCCGCGTTTTTCCCCGCGTTTTTTGCGATTTTTCTCCGCAATTTTCCCCGGGGACAGTATACCCCACGATTGGTAAATGCGTGATGCTGTAGGGATCTCGTGGTGATCATGAAGGGATTAGTCCAGTTCCATTTCAGGACGTCTATCATAAACACCAGTCTATTTCACCCAACACGTCGCTCCAGGGTTGGGTTTTTTTTGCTGTCGTACTCACTATCAACAGGACAGGCACCAACATCATCATCCTCTCCATTCGTCACCTGGTAGCTGTCTAGGTCCATATCTCTTGCAGGTTCAATAAACTTCGTGTTGTGACCTTTATCATCCGTTGAATCATCTGAATACTTCTCTATTTCACTGTCCACATTCAGATCAACGAGAAGTGGTGAGCACACATGCTCTTTCCCTGGGCACTGCAGATTCACTGAATCATTAGCACCATGCAGTGAACTGAGTTGTGAATTTGCAGTGCTCAGGGAAGGAGCCTGAGTGCTCACCACTTTTTTCGAATTATGAAGCTGTAGGATGCCTTACCCCTATGGTGCTTACTTTTCAGATTGCCAGTAAATGTCAGGCTCGCAAACATCGCTGTATTCCGCATGCTACTGAATCATAGAATGACCAAATTTGGTTACCATGGAGACGGTCCAATCACCATCAAAACATCAAAAAGGCTCCATCAGTTATATATCCACGTTTACGGATGTTACAAACAATGAATATGCGCTAGATATACTGGTTCCAGAAATTTGGTGAAAATGAGGTATATCTGGGTCTCGGATCAGGCCAACGTTCCCTTTTGGGAACATCGAAGAAAGTATTTATGTGCCATGACCAAATTTTCGCTGAATCTTCAGGCCAGTTGGGTGGCCATAGTAGCAGAGTGCACTTCTTACGTTGGATTAGTCTGATAAAGACTGTTTTTCACACCAGAATTCTCAATTGCTGAAGTACGGCCGAATACCGAAAATTCACGACATTTCGCCTAATATTCCGATATACTTGAAAATTTCAAAAGTCTGACAAATATTCCAAGATTCATGATCATCGGCCTTCCAGATATGTACTTCAAAAAGAACATTAACAGAAATGTGAAGGAAATGTGAATTCCCCTTGACCAAATCCCAAGGGGAAATTATGTTCCCTTTTGGGAACATTGGCTTAATATTGTGCAACACTAATGTTAGGTTCGCGGCTGTCTCTTGATGAATCTTTTCGTTGTTCTAGTTCAGTATAAGGCCGCGGTCACACATGAAACCTTTGCGCCGCTTTTGCGGAGGCGAAAAGCATAGCTACCGCAGCCGCTTTGGCGGAACACACGATGCAGCGGTCACACATACATGTAGAATACAGTGCTGATCAATGCTCCGCTTTGGCGGAGGGAATGCAAATGCAGCACGTCCTATGAAATTTTAGATGTTCTTGTACGAGTTGAAGCGACCTTCGCTTGTACAAGTAGAGCTATCGTGGATCGCTGACAGGCTGCTGAATGTCTCCTGTCAAGTACACTCTTGGATTTGGGGCACATTCACTGGCGGCCCAGTAGTGAGCCAGTGCTGGTGTATTTGAATAATTATTAGTTTACTTTACATCAATATCAAATTCAAATAGTTGTATAGCAGGGTGTCGTTGCCTCCTCCATGATCCATCATCGACCCCAGCGACTGCGTGGATGCCTGCAGTTGCAGTGAGGGTGTGGCAGAGTACTCTACTACTCCCTGGTTGCAGTCCTAGTGCTGCATACTCCGGTGGACGCATCGGTTGGAGAGAGAAGGAGAGAGTTGGAGATCGTCCGCAATCGGGGCCAATGAGTTGGGAGAGGGATTCCCTCACCAACTATCCACTCATAACGATGCAGTATCGTTTGGGAGATCTCCAGAACGTACAGTTCATTGGCAAAGAAAAACAAAATGAAAACTGAATACCAAACGGCAACCAAACAACACCAGAACTCAATGGAGAAGTAGCACACCAAACTCCAAAGCCATCACCATGCAGGTTCCGCCAAAGCGGATCCGCGAAAGCGGAGGTTCCGCTCGCATATGTTTGGCGTACCGAAATCCAAACTTTCCGCCAAAGCGTAACTTACGCCTCCGCCGTTGCCGAGGCAACGGCGGAAGCGTAAGTCACGCTTTGGCGGAACCGCCAAAAAAGTGCATGTGTGACCGCGGCCTAATTAGTTGTAGATCATCGCTCTCCATGCCGGCTGGTCCTTTGCCCGCTCAGTCGCCAGGTCGAGATCCCGCACTGCACATTAAGATTACCTGGTTCGAATACAAGTCTTGTTTAAATAGTCGCCTAGTCCTGGCATCGGCTTCTACAGAAATCATCGAGACCTATTATTATGCAACATGCTTCAAGAACGAAATAGAGGTTGAGACTTCGGCGATGATTTTGTTAGGAATGGGTTTGCTCCCACACTGGAGCTCGCGCTATCCCTAGTGATGTTTGTGCCTGGAGAGCACTATATAAGTGGTGCTCTTCAGGCACAATCTTCCTCAGCCTACTCAAGCTCAACTGATGAGGGGTGAATTCCCCGAAACACCGTGCATTGAGCAGGGAGTGGTGCTTTCTTGCAGGTTTGCCGAGTCAAAGGTTCGACGGACTTCTCGTGTTCTCTGGATGGCAGTCGTGAGTCAGTCAAGTGTCAAGTCGTCGGCGGAGTAGCGCGAGCTCCAGTGTGGGAGCAAACCCATTCCTAAAAATGCTTCAAGAATGTCAGAAGGAATAGTTTAGTGTTCCATGGTGGCTGCATTTTTTTTCTCGTCACACAGAAGGCTAGTTCCAAGCCTGGTTTAATGACTTCTCGACCCCTGGAAAGCTTTGGTGATGTGAAACTTGTCACATCACCTCAGAAGTGCTCAAAGTGGCTGGGAAAACCAATGACAATGGCGTCTAATGATAGCAGGCAAAGAACTATCTTGCAATCAACTAGAGGTAGCAAGTCAGAGTGCTCTACCTGCGATGAACACGGCAAGCTTTGCACTGCGGTACAATCAAGGGTGTCGGTTAAGCTACGGTCACTACGGCATTGACCATACCACTCTTTAGCTCAGGCACCGTGTGAATCAATAAAATGCACTGATCTGGGGTCCGGTTTTCGAAAAAATATTAATATTCTGAGGAGTCACCGCTCTCAAAAGGTAAATTGTGCCTCAGATTGCTGGTCGTACCACTCTAAATTATCTTCCGACGCCCCCTGAGACGACAGTACAAACATAATCACTTACCTCGTGGCTGATCATGCCGATGCCGTCGGAGAATGTGTACGTCTTCTGTTCGAGGACGGCTGGTGTCTTGATATCTTCCACGATGTCGTACTCGTGTTTCTGAATGACAAGACGACCGGATGTTGACGTGCTGGAGAAGCACTGGCCCATGCGTGCTGCATACTTGGCCACATTATTGATGCCCTGGAAGTCGCCCATCCACTGGCGAATTGACGATGCCGACACATTACCGGTAGTGCAGACGAACCAGCAGGCATGCTCACGCAGCTGGCTGTTGGACATTGCCAGAAAACGGTACTGGCGTCCGCACAGCATGATACCCTCCACCAGCTTTCGCTCCACGTTGTCGAGGATATCCTGCAAGGGGTGTTCCGCGTTGCCAACTCGCAGCCGCTGCTGATTCTCGTCGACAAAGTGCACGCGGAGAAAGCTTTGTATCAGCCCTGGGTTCTTGCGAATGTAATGTCTCAGTACCCGGTTCGGTATGTCTAAATCCGGCCCCATGGCGTACGTGGTGAGAGGCGTGACGTTGAGCCGATAGACCCAGACGTGCGTCTGGCCTCCGTCACCCGCGTCCGGCTGCTCACTCAACGGTGGTCTACCGTCTGCATCATCACCGCCCGCAGCAGCTCCTCTGGCGACCAGAGCGATGCCATCGCGCAGATCGGCCAGTGGATACTCCATAACCTTCCACTCTGCCGAATAGTGGCGCAACGCCTCCAATGCTCTGCCTTGCTCCAGTGCCTGGAAAAACTCTGAACTGAGCATCTCACGGTAGATCAAACCCTGCGTGACGAGTACCTCCAGTTGAAAGAGCTCCCGGAACCGATGCCGATTGCTGTAATTCAAGGCTATCTGATCGTACCGAAGACGGCTGAGTGTAATCGGTAGAAGCATGACGTTGACACCTTGCGTAACAAACTCAAGATCCTCGTACTTGTTTTGTAGCTCGCGGACGAAACGCCTCAGATGGGGTCGACCGCTTCCGTCTAAGAGCACGTGGAAGTATTGTCCCAAAACGTCGCCATCAGTCGTGAATGTGTCCAGGGTCCGTTCCCAGAATGGGGACTGTGCATCGTCAAAAACGTACTCCATGTCGTTCGACAGTTCTTCCTTGGCCTCGAGGTCGTTGGTGAGTCTCTCCTGCGGAATTCGATACACCTCTGCAGCCAGGTTAAAGCAGAGAGCTAGCTGCTGCGCCGTTCCGGACCTGTCTGCAATGACAACGTAGTTATGAAGATCCCACAGTGAGAACTTGAGCATATAGTGAAATGCGTCTGAGGAGATCTGCAGCGATATTGTGTTGTCATCCAGGTTCATGGTACACTTGACAGCCTTGTACTCTGGTGACGAAGACCAGCGGTGGAAGAAGGTGTTTCTGCGTTCCATGAATACACCCAAGGAGAAAGATTGTACCGAAACTGTGCTGATTTGCTCAGGTGGGGTGAGGTATATTGGTCGTGACTTGTTCGACGGATTGACATAGAGTTTCCTGCCGTTGATGCGAATGCCCAGTCCTACGTTGCTCACCTGGATAATCTGCTGCATGACCGATGTGCTCTCCACGCGCGCAAACGCGTAGGACTTGCCGCTGCGCGAGTTGTGCTTCACGGAGCAATTCAGCACTTGCAAGGTGAACCCCGACTGGCTCTGGAGAGCGTCCACGACCGCCTTGGCTTTCGTACCTCTCGGAAGATTGCCGATATGTAGCTCAGGTTGACTTGCCGTTGCTGACAGATCAGGCAAAGCAGCTGCAGCTGCCGCCATGGCTTCGCTTTTCGTTGTTGTAACAGGTTGTGGAATTGTGTGTTGCTCCCTACAGGTTGTGCGGCGGAAAACGCCCGATCCTGAGAGATAGTTGAAAATCACAAGCAGGTAATTGTGAGTCTCCCCGCTGTTGCCCGACACTGCCCTGAACGCTCTCTGTGCCCTGCCTTAGTAGACTACTGGAACTCTCCGTAGTTTACTCTAGCTTTGTATGATGTAGGATTTCACGTACTGCACCTGTTCAAACCGGCACCGTTTCTGCACCAGCCATTCATTTCACCTACAATACATGTACGTACATGCATAGGTCAGATGGGGGTTCGCAGAACAGGAATCGAAACTTTCGTTACTGTTTCTTGCCCGCTGCAAGACCCCAATCGAAATCCTGATAAAGGATACAAACGAACGTCTAGCGTCTACTACTAGTACTAGTAACTAATTATTATTATTAGTAATACTTATTTATAGCTGTACCAGATCAGATGGAACCACGCTACTGACTACTGAGTACTACTACTAGTACTACAATGACTGATGTATACGTGACAGGCTGACAGCTTCGTTCACCGCAGCAGTTGGTTATACAACTACGTAACGACAGTGACTGTCACGTGACGTAACTCGTTACTTGAATGACTGGTACAAAGTGGTAGATCTACACACATTGTACGTAACATGGTGCAAGCTCCGCCAGTGCAGGTCAGTTTCGGTGCGCGCTAGGGGAAAACCCGTGGCCAAAACTAAAGCTGTAACAAAACTTCAAAAGACCGACTCAGTGTAAAGGTCCGTAGATCTACGCGTAGATCTACGTGATGGCAACCGACTCCAGCTTGGTGCGCTCACATACCGGTAATAATGGTCCATAGCCTCATAGTCATCACATCAGTCATAGGGTCCAGCGGATGATAATGCCGGCATTATATGTACATGTATATTCGGCATTATGACTATCCGAGCATCAGACTCAGAGCATTTATCTTGATTATGGAGCATTAGAAAGGAACAAAACGAGCATTATGACTGTGAGGTTTGAGCGGCATAACGAGTTTCATAGTGGATAATATCGGGAAATCCCAGGTGTTTGGCAACAATCGGCTACAATCATGATGCAGGCTACTCTGCAGATCTGTCTCTTGCTCTTCTCCCAGCTAATAACTATGATAACCGCTATGGCTTTTTTGATGGCTTGTACCAAGAGTCCAGGGTTATGGACTCTTGCTTGTATGCATCAAGGTAGCAGCCTACCCATAAATTTCATTATGGCATTCAATTGACCGTAACTTTGGT